TTTTTTTAACGGAGAAACTAATATAAGATCGGGCTTTATTTTTCGGGAAACATGTTAGTAGTGTCAGTAATGGATTAGCTATAGAACTCATGCTTCTTTTATATTTGAACGTGAAAGACATCGCATTGTCTGTGATTCGAATATCGACGAAGGGCTGGCTCAAAACAGAATTGTGTCCTGCAAAACTTCGGGCCATTTAAACGCTTTAATGAGGAAAGAGTAGTAATGGACGGTATGGCTTCTGGTAGCAGAGGTTGTGCATGCTTAGGCACAGGGTTTTAGGGATGATCGATCCATTGATCAGTCAGTTGGTTCCCTCCGGGCTGTTACTTAAAGGCCTAACATACCCCCCCCCCCTCCTCTTCCCCCCTTTTTCCATATTAAAGAATCTAAGTGTGGATGCCAGACCAACAATTCAAATCCCAGATACCCTGTTCAACACACAAAAACTTAGTTATAACATGGCATCCATAAGTTATAATTATGATCCGTAAGTTATAATTATGTCAAATGTAAGTTATAATTATGGTGTCCATAAGTTATAATAAGGGCATCCCTAAGTTATAATTATGGCATCCCTAAGTTATAATTAGGGCATCCCTAAGTTATAATTAGGGCATCCGTAAGTTATAATTGTGGCATCCGTAAGTTATAATTGTGGCATCCGTAAGTTATAATTGTGGCATCCCTAAGTTATAATTAGGGCATCCGTAAGTTATAATTATGGCATACCTAAGTTATAATTATGGCATACCTAAGTTATAATTAGGGCATCCGTAAGTTATAATTGTGGCATCCCTAAGTTATAATTGTGGCATCCGTAACGGCTAAACCAGGCAGGTATAACCTGCAGTCCTGTGTGTGTAAGGAAGTATTAAGGACGCTCTTGTGAGGAAAGTATATGAGACAGGAGAGTTGCCAAAAGGTCAAGTTGCTCTCCAACTCCATCACGCTACAAAGGACCTGCTGCTGATGATGATGATGATGAGTTCTCGTTGTTATACATACAGACTCAGTGCAAGTGACTTTTATGAAAAGGTATCAGACCAGATGCCAAGTAGAGACCCGTCAGCAGCACAATATCACAAACATAAATGAAAAGTGAACGTTGCGGCTAAAGAGCCTTCATCAGCACATTACCCGAATATACATTACCACAGGTTTACTTCACCCACCTGCTCCGCATGGGTTTGCTGTTGTTTTTTTTCTCAGCCATCAGTTAGTGTTTTGTTGTTATTTGTTTATATTTTCCCCTCTCTGCTTTTACTATGTTTTACCTACCATTTTGATCCACACTGTCTGGGTAAAATTACAGTGAGACACTTCTACGTTATTGTCAGGAGTGATCCTTGTAATAATCAAGTCAATGTGTCTCTTCTGCTGCGTCTTTTAGTTATTTTATTATTATTATTTAGATATAATTCCATCTTCACCAGGTCGGTTTGAAAAAAAAGTGTCTTGTCCCTTGTGTCAGCTGAGCCTAAAATAGGTATCAGGAAGTGTACTACCGCCAAGTACAAATGGTCAACATAAATGATGACCACATCACCCAATGAGTACTGAGTATACTACGTATATATGAGTTTAGCACCATATGCCAAATCTACTACACTTACAAAAAAGGTCCTTTATTTTCTTTACATATGTATAAGGGGGTTTCGAATGAAAAGCTTAAAAGTGTGACAGAAATTGAAATAGCCATGCCATGGCTATTAGGTTTAGAAAATGGACCAACATCATGGCACAAGGGGTAACCCTTAAGTGCTCCATTCTACTTCTGACTGAATCCTAAGCCTGAACAATCTCAACACAGTGCACACACTCCATAACACCAGCGAGGATCCTGAAATAATTTGGGTAGATTTTAAACTCTAAATTTTTCCTAGGCAGCACCGTGAGGCTACTATTTTTTATTTCTAACTGCCAAGTCATTTTTTTTAAAACGTGTGCAACAATACACCCGGGTGTTCGGTCTTACTACCCAGAGACCAGGGAAAATTACTAGGACGCAGGCCCCCCTCCCACCCCACCCATTACTATTGTTTTGTAGCCTATCAGTATTGCTGGTTATAATATCAAGAGCATTAAGTAGGTTACAACGTGATACTGATGAACACGGTGACATCGTAATGACAGTTTATAGATGACAAGTGATGTGAACCGGTTTTTTTTTTTTTTACAACTTTCATTAACATCATCCACAGAGCTCGATCAGTGTCCACTGCACAGAAAAAGAAGAAGAAGGGAAAAGACAGTAAGCAGAAAAGGTTTGTAAACTGCTTCTTTTTCCCAATGACTATAACGCATTATGCCTGCTATATAGAACACATGGCTGTGAATCCTGGAAAAGCCAAACAATTTCTTGCAGCCTCGGAATTTAAGTTTTACACAATGTCTTAGAATTCTCTAGACAGCCAGAAAGAAAGCAGACCAGATGTTTTAAAATAGGTGAGGGTTCACAAACAGCCTATCAGAAACACCTGTAAGAGATAGTCATCATTTTTTGGTCATTGTTATGAGAAGAAGGAAAGCTGGAACATACTGTGACTGCTGGAAAGATCTGTTTAAACACACACACACAAAAAGATGGTGAAATACAAAAGGAGTAGATTCTTGACCGACTTTTGTTATAGTATGGAGGGGTGTTGTCACATGAACTGATACATGTAGTTGAAGATCGCAAATTATTTGGAGGGGCATGATTTCCCACTCCAGTCGGCAAGGCACTTGATGATGATGATAACATTTAATAGGGAGCTGTAGTAGCATAGCGGCTAGACACTCGTCTGCTAAACTAAATGTCCTGAGTTCGAATTTCCATTGTGACTAATTTTCTGCTTCTTCAGAATGGACACTGACTCCCATGTCAACCTGGTCTAAAATAAGTGCAGGGTAACATACAAGGTGAAGGTGACCTGTGTGATGTTTACCATCATCATCATGCCTGCTGATTGGTCTGTAAAAAATGAGTCTTGCTTTATCTGCCACTTGTGTAAAAATTGGGTCCTTTACTTTAGGTCTGCTTCTTCAGAATGGACACTGACTCCCAGGTCAACCTGGTCTAAAATAAGTGCAGGGTAACATACAAGGTGAAGGTGACCTGTGTGATGTTTACCATCATCATCATGCCTGCTGATTGGTCTGTAAAAAATGAGTCTTGCTTTATCTGCCACTTGTGTAAAAATTGGGTCCTTTACTTTAGGTCACAACATTTTTTTAATTGCAATAGAAACAACTGGAAAAATCTGCGGAGAGAGAGGTAAAGGAAGACAACACAAGGAGATTCTTGGCAGCCTTTTTTTCATGGTGTAGAAAAGAGTCAGCATGTGGACAGATATATGCTGTTGTAGGTCACAAGTTGTGGAGGGACTGCTCACATGTAGGTCACAAGTTGTGGAGTGATAGCTCACATGTAGGTCACAAGTTGTGGAGTGTCTGCTCCCATGTAGGTCACAAGTTGTGGAGTGATAGCTCACATGTAGGTCACAAGTTGTGGAGGGACAGCTCACATGTAGGTCACAAGTTGTGGAGTGATAGCTCACATGTAGGTCACAAGTTGTGGAGTGATAGCTCACATGTAGGTCACAAGTTGTGGAGTGATAGCTCACATGTAGGTCACAAGTTGTGGAGTGACTGCTCACATGTAGGTCACAAGTTGTGGAGTGACAGCTCACATGTAGGTCACAAGTTGTGGAGTGACTGCTCACATGTAGGTCACAAGTTGTGGAGTGACTGCTCACATGTAGGTCACAAGTTGTGGAGTGATAGCTCACATGTAGGTCACAAGTTGTGGAGTGACAGCTCACATGTAGGTCACAAGTTGTGGAGTGATAGCTCACATGTAGGTCACAAGTTGTGGAGTGATAGCTCACATGTAGGTCACAAGTTGTGGAGTGATAGCTCACATGTAGGTCACAAGTTGTGGAGTGATAGCTCACATGTAGGTCACAAGTTGTGGAGTGATAGCTCACATGTAGGTCACAAGTTGTGGAGTGATAGCTCACATGTAGGTCACAAGTTGTGGAGTGATAGCTCACATGTAGGTCACAAGTTGTGGAGTGATAGCTCACATGTAGGTCACAAGTTGTGGAGTGATAGCTCACATGTAGGTCACAAGTTGTGGAGTGATAGCTCACATGTAGGTCACAAGTTGTGGAGTGATAGCTCACATGTAGGTCACAAGTTGTGGAGTGATAGCTCACATGTAGGTCACAAGTTGTGGAGTGATAGCTCACATGTAGGTCACAAGTTGTGGAGTGATAGCTCACATGTAGGTCACAAGTTGTGGAGGGACTGCTCACACCTACCAAGGCACCTGATCATGAGTAAAATATAGAACTATTCTTCACAAGTATGAAAAAAGCTGGGGCACTTCCACTTAATATATTGTATTTATCTACTGCTGTTTGTCACATTTTTTTTTAAGAATATCACTTGAATGTTTGTACTTTGAACTGAAGATAGGACTTCAAATATTACATCATGTGCATTGTGTTCTGTGGCAGCGCATCATGATTACCAGAAAGGAATTCTGGGGTGTGGATTGAATCCAGTGTAAAGATGTATAGACATTGAAGTTTGGTTATTAAAATCATTTAGAAACAAAATTAGGTTGTGTTTGTATCTCTCTCTCTATCTTTATCTCCTCTCCATCTGTGTATCGCTGTCTCTCTACTTCTTTACTGGTCCCTATTCCTCTCCCCTCTGTTTGTCTCTCTTATTTGTGTCTCTTTCATTCTCTATCTATGCCTATTTCTTTCTTTTTTTTTTTTCATTATCTCTGTCTTTCTTTCTCTCCTTCCTCTCTCTCTCTCTCTGTCTCTATATCGCTGTCTCACTAATTCTCTATGTGCCCCTATCCTCTCTCTTTATCTCTTTTTGTCTCTGTCTGTCTGTCTGTCTCTCTATCTCTCTCTTTCTCTTTCTTTCTTTCATATGAAACTGTTATTTGACTTTTTGTAAGCAGCATTCATCAACATGATTTTCAATTTCATTTCCAGCTCTGATGGAGAATCCAGCTCCTCTTCCTCATCCAGCAGCTCTGGATCCTCAGACGATTCCGATGATTCTGAGACAGACGACTCTGATTCTGACAGTTCTTCATCTAGCTCATCCAGCTCAGAATCATCATCGTCCTCGTCTTCATCATCTTCATCGTCCTCATCATCTGATTCTAGTTCTGAATCAGAATCTGGCAAAGGTGACAAAGCCAAACAAAAGAAGAAGAGAAGGAAGTCAGACTAATGGATGTTAATATTAGAATAGTATTTTGTGCTGGCTGTTGGTTTTAACCCCTTTTGTCCCAGGAAATGACTTGGTAGTTCTGTCATTGCCACATTTCTGTAAAAGCTGAAAAGCTGACGTGTCTGCAGTGATTTGTGTTGCCGAGAAGTGTATGTAGTTTAACTTTGTCGACCCGAGATTCAGCAAAACTGACACCTCTGGTTGTGTCCAGTTCCCTACAAAAGTCGCTTTACTGACTTTTCTAGGTTGCTGTGTTTACAAGACACAGTTAACACGATAGCTGTATCATGCCTGCATAGTATTTAGGAGGTCCGGATATGAGTACATTTACTAAAAATAACATTTGGAGGGAAGTTTTCTTGTGAACCAAATTGCTTCTTTTTTTAAAGCCATGTTGACATCACAATTTCCCATAGCTTCTGCAGAAGAGGTCACAGAGGAATGGCATTATTTACCAGATACATTTTACTTTTAGGCCCCGGAGAATCTATTCCATTTAATGCTTAACTTTACTAAGGCATTTGTCTAAACTTATATATTTCAGCAACAACAATTTTTTAATGTCCATTACAAAATTTATCATAGACCTGTGTAAAATGGTTGTTCTTTCAGGATTGTATTGTGGCGGCAATTCCTTCTGTTACGTGACACCTATTTTGTTTTTAACATTACCGGAACAACAGGGGTAATGTTATTTCTATTTATGCCTGGATCTTAATTTAGGTTTTTCTCGTAAAGAAGATGGCTTTCTTTAAAAAGCCATTTTGAAGTCAAATTTTCCCATAGCCACAGTAGAGACCATCGGGTCACGGCATACATATTGTTTTTCTGGACCCCTGGGAGGGTTTCTGTTCAACTCTTTACTCTGCGTTTATTGATTATTCACTTTTAAAATCTTTTTGTATTTCAACAACAAAATTAAAAATATAGAACAGTAATTTTTTTTTTCTCCTTTGTATTAGTGACCTTTGTAAAATAGTTGTTGCTTGAAGAATATTTTTGGGAATTTTGGGAGTGCAGTCTCTGTAGCACCGACGAGGATCCTGAAATACTTTGGGTAGATTTTAAACTCCATATTTTTCCCGGGCAGCGCCATTAGGCTACTCTTTTCGATTTCCAACTACCAAGGGATTTTTCACGTGTTCTACGACGCAAACGGGCGTCCAATCTCACTACCCAGAGACCAGGGAGAAATACTAGAAGTCCAAGTCTACGTGAATAAATCCCTGCCCTTACCGAAGATTGAACCCGGAACGTCTAGCACGCGAGGCGGACACCATACCTCGAGATCAAGCAAGCCCCCTACAGGTTCCTTGGCCAATTTCTTAAGCATTCTTGGGACAAAAGGGTTAATGTACTACTATTGTGTGTTATTTACTGTGTTCATTCTTGTTATATTTTGAAAAATGTTCCTATATTTAACTCGGAGTAGAATTGTGGATTTGGGGGGCAGAATGTCTTGGGGGTGTATTCTGTATAGACTTGATTGATGTAGGCATGGTAGAAGTCTATTCCATATATTGTATGTGTCAATAAAGTCCGGACACAGGAAGTCTCCTTAACTGTAATTTATTACATAGAGTTCACTTGAATTCTACAAAAGTCATCAACCTTTGCTTTGCAAATGATGGCAGTCATACTGAAGACAGAAGACGTTATTTAATATTCTAGTGAAAAAAAAATGGTAATAAATCTCATTTATTGAAATTATGTATTGTTGCCTTTGTGCCCCGACCTTGAGGAGTGGCTGGCTGAATGGTTAGAACACTAGGCTGTCAAGCAGGAGACCCGGCTTCGAATCCTCAGCAGGGTATCGTATCGTCGTATAAAATCAAACAAAAATTCCAAGCTTAGTCCTTAAGGGCTGGGGATTTTTGTTTTTATTAGAGGGCCAAAATGAAATCCTGACCTGCACAATCCATGGTGACAGTATTAGCCATGCCAGCAGCACTAGTGGCACTAAATCTTCAGGCTCAGAGATCCCTCTCCTTCTGCTTACACTGCGGAAGCAGTATATAAGGCAAAAATTGGGAGTTTGAATTTTCAAATGCTAGTCCAGAAGAGAATAGGGGCTTTTGAGCTGAAATGCTAAAAAGATTCTCAGGATAATTTGGACAAAGAAGATGAGAAATATTGACATCTTAAAAGATCTGAACATCAAGGAAGATTGGCTAATAAACAGCATCCTTTCTTGAAAGCTGAAATATTTTGGTCATATCAAGCGCCACTACGGATTGAAAAAATTATAGCAGAAGGCATGGTACCAGGAAGCAGGGACAGGGGCCGACTGACAGGAAGATGGGCACATGATATAAGTTACTCTTTGAGTGTGAAAGTTCATGAGGCGAAATAACTGGCAGGAGACCGAGTTTCTTACAGGCAGACTGTGATGAGAGCGACGTTCTGCAAAGGACCTGCTACATGATGATGATGAATCCAGAACTTGGGAAATGAGTACTAATAGTTGACACTATGTTAGATAAGGCAACATGTGTCAGGCTGCATGATTTATGAGTTATTGACACTTCCAGTTTAATGGTAAACAGATGACCTCATAATTGCCCTGTTCCTATGCCAGCGAACGCCGCACAGAATACCCATCAGCGCACCGTGCGAAAAAAATTGAGACAGGCTGCAGTCTCGGCAAAGGCGGCGACATACACATGCAAGAAATGTATAAGGCTGTCATCAGAAGTGCCAGCACATTCTGTTACTTGATTTGCATTTCATCATTGATGGAAGTAACAGTTGATCATGTCTGAAACAGAAAAAGAAACGGGAGTTAAATTGTGAGATTTCCTCTGTTGTGTCATGTGTGACGAGAGTTAAATTGTTCACCAATGTTTTGCTGTACATGTTGACAAGTTAAATTTGTCTTTTTCCTGTTGAGATTGGTTTTTCCATATTTTATCCAACATGTTAGGAAGTAAATTGAATTTTCTCTTCTGGTTTTTGACATTTCATTAATAGACATATTCCATGAGTTAAATGGAGTAATATTGTTTTCCTTTTTTCCTCTCTTTCTCTTTTCCATTTCATTTTTTTTCAACGTTTTTTAAAACAGTGTTCCCATTTATTTTTACTAATTGTAAGATGTAAGAATCCATAACAATCATGAAAGAAAACCAAAGATAATGCATACAAACAAAACTGCCATGGAGAAGGAAAAATATGTTAATGAGGAAAGATTGGAAGTGGTGGAAAATTTCGAATATCTTGGGTCACTGGTTACCAACAATGGTGACACAATGAAAGAAATTAAACGGTGACTATCAATTGCTCTTCAAAGACTAAAACAACTGAATAAATTATGGAATTGTACAGATAGAATTACAAAGGTCAGATTTTTAAGAGCATGCATCTTTCCCATTGCAACATACGCCTGTGAGACCTGGACATTCACTAAACAAGCGGAACAGCGCATAAATGCATTTGAATATAAATGTTACAGACAGGTTCTAAGAATATCTTGGGTAAAGAAAAGAACAAATGCATCCATACTTCAAGAGCTGAATATTGAAGAGGGTTGGCTAGTAAAGACAATAAAACAAAGAAAATTGAAATATTTTGGTCACTTGAAACGTCATGGAAGTCTAGAGAGAACAATAATGGAGGGGTATATGCCTGGGAAGAGAGGAAGAGGAAGGCCAAGGAGAAGATGGGTGCAGGATGTGGCAGATGATCTCCAGATGGGTGTATCAGACGCAGGACATCTTGCTCAGGATAGGAAGGTTTTCCGGAGGGTTGTTATGGCAGCGAGGTTCCGCGAGGGACATGCTACTGAATGAATGAATGAATGAATGAATTGTAAGATGTGGTTCTTTTTTGTAGAACAGTAAGGGAAAAACTGAAACTGAAGTGTTAACTTAAGCAGTCATTGATCAGTCTATGACAGCTGTTTGCTGTAGAATGGAGTCAGGTCAGGAAAGTTGAAAAAGTTGATCTTTGCATGACTGCTGTTTTGTATAGAATGAATCAGAAATGCTTAAGTAGTCATTTGCAGCTGTTTGCTTTATTTAGAATGAGTCAGAAATGTTCAGGGATTCATTTATCAATTCCTGACAGCTGTAGAATGAGTCAGAAATGTTTAGGGATTCGTTTATCAATGCATGACAGCTGTTTGCTGTAGAGTGAGTTAGAAATGTTTAGGGATTCATTTATCAATGCTTGAAAGCTGTTAGCTGTAGAATGAATCAGAAATGTTTAGGGATTTATTTATCAATGCATGACAGCTGTAGAATGAGTCAGAAATGTTTAGGGATTCATTTATTAATGCTTGAAAGCTGTTTGCTGTAGAATGAATCAGAACTGTTTAGGGATTCATTTATCAATGCATGACAGCTGTAAAATGAGTCAGAAATGTTTAGGGATTCATTTATCAATGCATGACAGCTGTAGAATGAGTCAGAAATGTTTAGGGATTCATTTATCAATGCATGATAGCTGTAGAATGAGTCAGAAATGTTTAGAGATTCATTTATCAATGCATGACAGCTGTTTGCTGTAGAATGAGTCAGAAATGTTTAGGGATTCATTTATCAATGCATGACAGCTGTAGAATGAGTCAGAAATGTTTAGGGATTCATTTATCAATGCATGACAGCTGTAGAATGAGTCAGAAATGTTTAGGGATTCATTTATCAATGCATGACAGCTGTAGAATGAGTCAGAAATGTTTAGGGATTTATTTATCAATGCATGACAGCTGTAGAATGAGTCAGAAATGTTTAGGGATTCATTTATCAATGCATGACAGCTGTTTGCTGTAGAATGAGTCATAAATGTTTCGGGAGTTACATTGTTGTGCTCTCATGTGGAAGACCCTGGTTTGGAACCCCCCCCCCCCCCCTTTCTCTAAGGTAATGGAGTTTTTCTGTCGGGGATAAAATTAGCCATCCTAACCTGCACAGCCTGTGGCGACAGCACTAGCCATGAGGCCCTAAATCGTCAGGCTCACGACCCCCTCCCCCACCCACCAAACCTGTCTGAACTGTCAAGGA